AAAAATGGTTGTAATTACCACAATTTAAATAGAATTTATAGTACATTTTTGGGACAACTATATATTTATAGTTGTTTTATGCAAACATAGTCAGTTGTGTTATTAATAATAATCACACACACTGCTTGAAAAAAAGTCTTTTTTTAATATACTTTTTATTAATATTACATAAGTAAAGCAAAGTAAGCAAGTAAATTTGAGAAAATCATATTCACTATGATTACAATTGCATTTACTGAATACAAATGTTTATTTTATTTACACACCATTTATATCGTGGTATTTTATTATATTAACATTTGAAATTATTATAATTTATAGTATAATTTTTTTTATATTTCAGAGGACTATACGTACACATAATTATTATTACTAATATTATAGCTATAATAACTATAAAAATGGAGTTATTACAGTTGTAAATACCAAATACTTTTCTCTCAATATATCCATTACAAAATAAGAGTCATTTAATTTCAGTAATTTTCCGATTGTTACCCTATATATCAAAACATGTCTCAATCATTTATTTAGTTACCCAAGAGATATTGCGAGATTATTAAAGAGAACGAGTGGTACCGAGCACATCATTGGAGGATATTGCACGTATATTCCTCAGCGCTCGCATCGATATTTCGTCCGATCTGCCGTTGCACTTCTGTCGAGAATTGGTGAAATTTAAGCGCACGTGCATGAGCTTGCTGTTAACGTCTATTTCGTATACACCATCTGATTCCACCCCGTTGTATCGAGAGCTGCCGTGCTTATACGGTCGCATGGGGCGCATGCACCTGTCTGTCAGTGTATGGGGAGTTGCATGTACGTAGGACTCTATGCGCGCGACCTATCGATCCCCCGCTATATTTTCCGCGCGGGGTATCCTCTGTGAGAACGCGTGTTTCCGGCCAGCCGAGTTGGAAAGCACGGTCTGTGCGTGAGTCCCGCGCCCGACGGCGCCCAGCCGTGCTGGCTATTTACGTTCAATTTACACCTGCGCGCGAGGCGAGATATATCCGTGTTTTTTTTTTCTCCTACAGAAATGGTCAAAGGCTCGAATGTACAGTTCGAACTTCGAGCGCGTTTAACGGTAGTCATCGTAGTTTTCACACCATGGTTGGTTTCGGAGAAATTTTGCGTATTAACTTTTAGAAGTAGTTTAAGATCTATTTTTCAAATTTTATAGCTTCCATTCAATAGGATTTGTAATAAATCATAGTATTTCTTGCATCCAAATATGATACTTTAGCGCCACTAGTGGTTTTCCCGTCCTGTAAGTCCGGATCTACAATAGGTGTTTAAGCCTTAAGCCATAAGAAATTGATCAATTACAGTTGAATAATCGAGAAGAATAATCATCATAAAACTATGATTCGTTCATTTCTTATGGCTTAATCCTTTCAGTCACGCAATTCAGGATGTAGCAATCATTATAGGAAGGGTGGTTTCTTAGATTTTGAGGCCGCTGAATCTGAATCCGGGGAATTACAAAAAAGAATTAAAATCAAGATGGCAGATTCAAAATGATGAATCAAGAAACTGATCATTTTGCATGTTGAATGCAAGTAATCTAATGGCCAATTCAAACTCATTGTTTTCAAATACATTAACAATAAGTTACAATGTTAAAAATGACTGATTCAATGCAATAGTAATTGACCGATTGCAAAAATAATCACATTTTTGTAGTTTTAGCCGCCATATTGGATCCGCCATTTTGAATTTTAAAAATCTGATGGCGGATTTAAATTCAGCGACCTCAAAAGCATTGAAAACAATGATTTACAATGCATGTTTATTGTCAAAATCTGCCACAAATAAATTAAATTTGGAAAAATATACATTTTTTTATATAAATTTGTTTACAACATAAAAATTATTAAATAATCATGAAACATGTTCTACTTTTTGAAGTTTGAATCTTATTTTACCTGAAAAAAAAGAACCCCGTGAGTTTACTCTGAAAACAAGAGATATGGTAAAAAAAAGGAGGCCAAAAAGCTATGTGCCATAAATGGCTCATTGCGACTCAAAGGATTAAGGCTTAAAAACCTATTGTAGATCCGGACTAAAAGTTGAACCGTTACCTTTGCTTATCTGTGAGCTTACAAATGCTTCGCGTTCGCACATTTCGCTCAACGACGTCGGTCAATTGCGGATAATGAACAGAGGGAAGGCCGATGATGGTTGCCGGAACCGACAGAGAGATTTCGCGCAGCATGACCCCGTGACCTTTCTCATCGGTCGAGAGGGAGGAGGATAAAGGTGGAAGACTGTGTTATTGGGGGAGGAAAGAGAGATGCAGAGACTGGGTGGTAGTCATGGAGACCGTCCCGAGAGGCTTCCTTAATTCAAAGCTTGATTGGCTCGAACAATCTTAAACTTGTATATGCCTGATAAATTTCTCTCTTTCTTGCCCTCTCTCTTTCGCGATTGTTCACAACCGCGATAAAGAGAACCTACTCAGACTACCAGCATTTCCACATCATTTCATTCTCCTCTCGAAACAACAGTGTGAGTGCTCCATTCGATATTTCCAAGCCGTTTCAGTCCCCTCAGATCGATTTTTAAAGTTGAAACATTGAGACCGAAATATGCTGCTGTTGTGAATTATTGTACGTGGTAAAGTACCACATAATAATTCAATTAAATCAGCATGTCTCTTACTTCCAAATCATAATTCAAGTAGAATTAGATTATAAGGCATTACCAATTTATACTTGTTATTACAAGCAATTAGATTGACGATATGCATTTAAGAGTCTAATTTAACGATAATTTGCTATATGTAATTTTCATCGTCCATGACCACTTTTTGTTCGCCCCAATCTAATTTTCCTTTTTACTTCTCCTTTTACCTTTCTCTTTTTTCAGTCTAGCTTATTATATTTTGTTATTTATATATAGTGTTACTTTGTCATAATTATGAGAAAGACTATATCCTCGCGACACGGTTCCCACTGAATTGAATCGAATTAATTTCCTCTCTGAACCCTCCGTTTGTCCTCACCTCTCTCCCTTTTCGCCTTCCGTCGACGTCTAATAAAGTCAACTTTCCTCTCCGCGAAGCCGCAATCTTTTCAGCGACTTGCAGCTTTTCCTCGCGCGAGAAAAGCGATAAAACTGTCGGCTACCGCGAAGAAATGGAGATGGAGAAAAAGAAATGGAAGGAAGAAAGGGAAGGAGAAGGAAGAGATGGAGATAGGATGGAATATGAGCTTCGCGTCGCGTATTTGTCGAGTATTCGATACTCGCACTCGGGTTTCACACTCGACTCGGCGCGTTGTCGCTGATATTATGGTCTCGGGGCTAGCAAGAAAACAGCACGAGTTGCACAAAACCGGGAAAAGACCAGTCGAGTGCACAGGATACCCGTATTTGCGGTTCAGTTGTTACACATCCCACTCCCGCTTCTTCGGGTTAGCACTAAATCTAACGTTTCTCCGATTTCAAGTATTCATTCTCAGCTATATATCACAATCGTTTTATGTTCTTTATATACCTACATACAAGATGTCACTAGAAGCTCCGATGTCTCAATAGATTCTTTGATGAATTAAAAAGATTGAAAGATCGATTTTCCCTTAGCGGAGATATTCAACCATCTTGATATATACAGGGTTGGCCATATTCGACGGAAAGATGTTTTTTTTTTCAATCATGGGAAAGAGATGTTAGATCGAGTAACGACGTTTCCCATGATTGAAAAAAAAATACATCTTTCCGTCGAATATGGCCAACTCTGCATATGTGTGTGGGATTTACTTAAGGGAAAAGAACATAACCGGGCGT